AGTATATGGGAATTTTTTGTGCTATCTTTGCAACATTTTTACAAGTTTGAAATTATTTCAAATTAAAGAAAATGTCTTCAAAAGACTGAAATACATCAAATATATTTTTAAATTTCATGACTTCATCATAATGATGCAAAAAAAAATGTCAAAACTCAAAAACCTTATTGGCCACCTTTGCTGGATGCTATGGAACCAACTAACTTCGAAAACTAGTAAAAAAAAAAAAAAAAAAAGGCAGCAAATGTTTATAATACATTTCTTAAGAACGGTTTATCTTGGGGTAACCAAATTGTTGAGGGAAAAGTCTTCTCCTTAGAAGAATTCAAGCTAATAAATGAAAATTTCTTCTCTATTTTCTAGGCCAAGGATTGGGAAATTAAGGCCCTCAGGACAAACCCAGCCCAACACCTGTGTCTATAAAAACTGAAATACAGTTGTCTTGGTCCGTTTGTGCTCGTTATAACAAAAATACCTAAGAGTGGGCAATTTATAAAGAACTCTATAAACTTATTTCTCACAATTCTAGAGGCTGGGAGTCCAAGATCAAGGCACCAGCAGGATCAGTGTCTGGTGAGGGCCCAGTCTCCTGTTCCAAGATGGCACCTCATTGCTTCATCCTCTGGAGGGGAAAAACAGTGTCCTCACATAGCAGAAGAGTAAAGAGAGCAAGCCTACTATCTCAAGCTCTTTTATGATGCTCTACTACAGGAAGGAAGGAAGAAAGAGGGGAAAAAAACAAGGAGACAAGGGGGAAGGAAAGAAAGAGAAAGAAGGGAAGGAGGGAAGGGAGGAAGGGAGAAGGAAGGGAGGAAGGGAGAAGGAAGGGAGGAAGGGAGAAGGAAGGGAGGAAGGGAGGGAGGGAAAGAGGGAAAGAGGGAAAGAGGGAAAGAGGGAGGAAGACACACTGGGATGTGCATAACGATGAAACAAGATTTGGCCTTGTGTTGATTACTTTTATACGTGATGGATACATGGAGTCTCTACTTAGTCCTTATATGTTGGGGTTTCTCGGTATTTGTTCTCAATTCCTGGCCCCATCCTTTCTTTGTCGTTGAGTGATTTTATCTTCTCTCATAGCACACATGTGTATTAATCAAAAATGTTTTAGGCCCTCTGGCTACAATGGCATGTGCCAGTAATCCTAGCACTTTCATAGGCTAAGATGAGAGGGTCACTTGAGGCGAGGAGTTGGAGACCAGCCTTAGCAACACAGAGAAACTTCAGCTCCACAAAAAATTTAAAAATTAGCCAGGTGTGGTAGTACACACCTGTAGTCCCAGCTACTTAGGAAGCTGAGTAGGGAGGATCTTTTGAGCTTAGAAGGTAGAGGCTGCAGTGAGCTATAATTGTGCCACTGCACTCCAGCCTGGGCAATAGAGTGAGACCTTGTTTCAATCAAACAAATAAAAATGTTTTAGTGGCTATGATGTTATGATGCATATTGTTTTTTTTGTCCATGGTTCCTGACTCCTATCTCTCATAGTCCTTGTTATAATGTTGGGGCACTTAAGGCCTTAGGAAACAGAATCTCTTTCTCCTGTCCTCCTTTTACCTGCCCAAGGCACAACTATAATCTGATTGTGGGTCAAAAGACCCTTATTCCAGAAAGCACCCTACCCCACACCTTAGAGGAAGGAATACCACACAGAAAGGCCAAGAAAAGTCTGAAAAGACAAACCTTGCTGGGTTTAAATCATGTTTTTTTGTCCAACCACATTTTTACACAGTTGTCCATCATGCCTATGCAATGAAGCCTCCATAAAAACCCAAAATGACAGGGATCAGAGAGCTCCTGGATGCTTGCACACGTGGAGGTTCCTGCAGGGTAGTGCACGCAAGAGGCACATTGAAGCTCTGTGCCCCTTCCCCCATATCTTGTCCTATACCTCTCTTCATTTGTATCCTTTGTCATATCCTTCATGATGAAACAATACATATAAGTAGGTGTTTCTTTGAGTTCTGTGAGCCACTCCAGCAAATTAATTGAATGCAGAGAGGGGGTCATGGGAACCACAACTCGAAGCTAGTCCACCAGAAGTTCCAGAGGCATGGTCTTACAACTAGTGTGGTGAGGTTGGTGACAATTTTGGTCACTGAGTCCTCAACCTGTGGAATCTGTTTCTCTCTCTAGTATTGGAATTGATTGGAGAACTCCCAGTTGGTGTCTGCTACAGAATTCATTGCTTGCTTGGTGGTGGGGAGAAACGCACACACACTTGGTCACAGAAGTCTTTTTCTGTGTTGACGATTGTTGTGGTGGTAGCATGAGAGCAGAGGAAAAACATGCTTTGAGATTTTTTTCCAAACAGCGACAAATCTTATTCAACTCACTTTCAAAAAAAAAAAAAAAAGTGAAGGAGAGATTTATTGAGTTGTGTATCTGGAAAGAATACAGAATGAAGATCTCCGCTGTAGGAACCAAGATCTCAGTTCTAGACTTAGTGCCTAGTCTAGTCTAGGCTCTCCATCTCCATGCATCAAGCAGAGACATCTTTGTTCTAAAGATAGGTTTCTTTATGCTTGCAGGGGAAATGATGACTGCTGTCAGCCCCAGAATCACATTCATCTAGCTTAGCCATCCGGTGAACAAATAAGTAACTCTGGGAAGAGAGTTTCTTTCTCCTCCTGTCTACAGACCAACTCTAGGGAAAGACTCTGAATTGCCTATTAAGTCATGTTCCCTATTTGGGAGGATGATGTAGAAATGACAAGGCCTAAGTAAGACCAAGGGAGTAGGGTCTATTATCAGAAGAAAGGGAAATCTTCACTGGGCAAATAAAAGTAGCTATCTCAGTTCCCTAAAGAAAGCTACAATTACTTGCATGTTGATAACTCTCAAATGTAGAGTTCCACATCTTTCCATCCAGCAGCCCGCTTGATACAGTCAATCAGATGTTTTACAGCTACTCTTTACTCAGCATTTCCAATGCTGAATTCATCCTCCCAACCTCTCCTCCCATTCTGTTTTCCCTCTGTATTCTCAATCTCAATGAAGGACACTACCATTCATAGATTTGTGCAAGTCCCAACCTAGGAATCCTATTCTTTACTCCTCAATATCCATCACTCCCCACATTCAGGTAGTAAACTCTGTCAATTTTACCTCATTTTTCTCCATCTTGAATATGCTCATATCTTATATGTTGAATATGCTCACTTATCCATTCCCCACTGTCACTAATGTAGTTTAGTGTTTATTATGTCTCATCTAAACTAGTATCCTTTTCTGACTTTTCAATTTAAAGTAATACTCTTAAAGCATTATACTGTATAATGGCACCTAGTTTGTTTGTGTAATAGAATTTGCTATAGCATATATTTATCAAATAAAATGCTTACTTTTAATTGTTATTATTATTGCTTTTCTCCTTGACTTGAATATAAGTTCCCCCTTGGCAGAGACCATGTCATTCCTGTTCACTTCTAGATTAGGGTGTCTAAATTAACTCAGACTGGTGTGGTGAGGTGAGGGGCAAATTTGGGCACTGAGTTTTGTCCAACTTAGCAGGCACAGAGTGTTTTACAACATACAGTTTTTTATGACTTTCATTTATTGCTAAATAAATATGAATTTTTGTCCTAACAAGCAGGCATAGAGTTTTTTACAACTTATATTTTTACTTTTATATTCTTACAACTTATATTGCTAAATATTAGCTGTAAAAAAAAAACTCTATGCCTTCTTAGTTAGAAAAAAATTACCATTAAACAGGTAGATTTTGTTAGAGGAAAGAAATGAGTGGAGAAAAAGTGTGGCACTCAATTTTTTCCCTCTATTAACCTTTTTCATTTTATTTTATTTCTTGAAACAGAGTCTTGCTTTGTCACCCAGGCTGGAATGCAATGGTGCAATCTTGGCTCACTGCAATCTCTGCCTCCTGGGTTCAAGTGATTCTCCTGCCTCAGTCTCCCAAGTAGCTGGGATACAGGTGTGTGCCACCATGCCTGGCTAATTTTTGTATTTTTAGTAGAGGTAGGGTTTTACTCTGTTGGCCAGGCTGGTCTCAAACTGCTGGCCTCAAGTGATCCACCTACCTTGGCCTTCCAATGTGCTGGATTACAGGTGTGAGACACAGGGCCCACCTGTTCCCCCAGTTAATCTTACTGTGCTTCATGAATCTTCTTGAATCTGAAGTTTTATTTTTCACAACATTAGGGGAATTTTCCAGCTTTTATTTTTACTTTTCGAGACAGAGTCTCACTCTGTCACCCAGGTGCCCAGGCTGTAGTGAAGTGGCACGATCTTGGCTCACTGCAACCTTTGGCTCCCAGGTTCAGCAATTCTCCTGTCTCAGCCTCCCAAGTAGCTGGGACTATAGGCATGTGCCACCATACCTGGCTAATGGTTTATACTTTTAGTAAAGACAGGGTTTTGCCATGTTGGCCAGGCTGGTTTTGAACTCCTGACCTCAGGTGATCCACCGCCTGGGCCTCCCAAAGTGCTAGGATTATAGGCATGAGCCACAGGGCCCAGCTGTTCCCCCCATTAATCTTACTGTGTTGTATCAAACTTCTTGAATCTGATGTTTAATGTTTCACAACAAATTTCCAGCTTTTATTTCTTCAGACATTCCCTCTCTCCTCATTTTCTCAGAAAACAGTTTCATTTATGTTAGAACTTTTGAACTGTCCCATATCAAAAGGGTCCCTGAGACTATTTTTCAACCATTTACTTCTCTGTTGTTCAGTTTATACAATTTTTGTTGATTTTATCTGCAAGTTTATTATCTCTTTTCTGTCATGTCCATTCTGCTGTTAAGCCTATTCACTAAAAAGGTGAGTTTTAAATTTCAGATATTGAAATTTTCAGGGATTTTTTTTTTTTGTATATTTGTCTGTGGTTTTTAGTTCTCTGCCAATATTTCCTACTTTTTCGTCATTGTGATCTTATTTACCTTCATATCCTTGACTTAATTTTGAGGTGAACCAAACAACCTCCATCTTAGAAGTGAGCCTGACTGACTCCATCTTGGCTTTCCCCCACCCCCTACCATTCCTCTCCCTTGAGTACATACCTGGATCACACAGTGCTGGGTCATGTTGTGCTTAGAACCATAGAAACACATAACCGTTGTAACCATACCCTGTTTGACAAGCCTGCTCGCTATTGTGAATATCCCTTGACTGATCATATGGAAAGTACTGAAATGCCCCCCCTTGGTAACCAGCAATCATGGAAACCGCTTGTATACCCTCCTTAATCAACAATCATGAGAGACTCCTACCCACTAGTTACCAGCCTTCTCCCCTAACTTGCTCGTTCTGCTTCTGTAAAATTCCACTTTGCCCCCTTACCCTGCGCAACATATAAAAGGAAATCACACTGCTTCCTCGGGGCCAAGAGATTTTGAGCGTGAGCTGACTCTCTGTTGCTGGCAATAAAGGACTCACCATCAGATCTCAGAGAGTGGTGCTTTCCTAACAACTCCTTGGATACAACAGTTGGAGGCCCCCGTGAGATTTCACCACCAGGCTTGAACCAGATTCATTCCGAGCTCCCCTGGACGAATGGCAGACTACAGGGGAGGCACCCCCTGAGACGTTCCAGGGCCCCATAGGCCACTGCCTTCCGCAGGAGAATGGATCGACTGCCAGAGTGCCCACCAAATTCAAATCCTGAGTCCTCAGCTTCAGCTCCAGGGAAAGTGAGTCAGATTTGATTTTGTTTGTCTGGAAGGGAATTAACCCTGACAAGGGCCTTCCCCTGAGACTCTGTCATAACTCCAGGATGCTGGAGGACAGAGACTTGGGTTTGCAGACTCTTCGGAATCCCGGTCTTGTTTGACTCCTTGAGCTGTCACTGGTTTTCTAAGTCCCGATCTTGTTGGGCTCTTTGAGCTGTTACTGGTTTACTGAGTGACTCGTCTTGGATTTGCCTGAGTGCTTGTGTACACACATGTGTGAGTGAGTGGGAAAGAAAATTTCTCCAGGATCCTGACTGGTTTACAAAAAAGTGCAAAACCGTCATAACCTCTGAGTGCCTATGTGCATGTATGTGTGAGTGCGTGGGAACCTTAGATGCTTGTGTCTAAGGATCTAGTTTGTGGCTCCACGGCGAAAGCTATGGAGTCCGAGTGGGCCCTAACCTGCAGTTCTGTGGTGACCTCATACGGCTTAATGACAGTATCAGACTAGTCCTATAGCATCAGACTAGTTCTAATCCGAGTTAGGGGTTTATACTGGCCTATCTAGGTCAAGAGGCACCTAAGTCCCCATAAGGGGAGCGGCCAGGTGGGCATCTGAGTGATCCCAATAAGGGACCCCCTTTCCCTTGTTTGTCCTTGGAAAACTGCCATAATCATTTATCTGCCTCAGTGTCTTTTCTACCTCAATGTCAGTTGTCCTGTTTTGTCCCTAACATCTGAGTTTGTATGTCTCGCATCTATTGTCCTGTTTGTCTCTAGCATTTGAATTTGTATGTCCCGTCATCCTTATTGCCCAACACAATTGGGTAAAACACTTTTTCAAGGTCCTTAGTGCAGACTTCCTACCTCAGAAAGTCAAATTTTTCATTAGCAGTTTGGGCTGGCCATGTCTTTTCTGTCCTGTCTTTTCTGTCAAAAACAGATCAGGTGTTGTTACAAGGAAACTTGTGCTAGACATCCACCAGTCTGGGATTTCTGGCACCATAGAGGTTGTTGGTACCTAGACTGTCATACCCTGCACCCCAACGACTGGTCTAACCCCTCCTTGGCTGAGCCGTACTTCTCCTTTGCTCCGACCCTCAGCCTCCTGCTCCCCTGGGATTCCCCTCGGTCTCCTCATCCTCATCTCCTGTGGTCTCTCCACCTATCGCCTCCAGACTGTGGCCTCGGCTGGAGGAGGCTACCCAACTCCTCCCCTTAAGGGAGGCACCACCTCCGCCAGGCAGCTATCGTTCTGCTCTGTTTTCGTTCTATGTCCCTTTTTCTACTTCTAACCTGTACAACTAGAAGGTTGAAAAACCCACTTTACTCTAAGAAACCTCAAGTCCTAACCTCACTGGTTGAGTCCATACTCCGGACTCACTGGCCCACGTCAGATGACTGTCAGCAGCTTCTCCGACCCTTTTTACATCTGAGAAAAGAGACCGTATTTGAAGGGAGGCCAGAAAGTTTCTTCCTTAGTTCAGCCGGTATGCAGAAGGGAGCCTGAAACCTCCTAGAGGAAGTGTTTTTTCCTTCTACTCCGCCTGACTGGGGCCCAAATACCTCAGGGGGTGGGGAGAGGAGAGCTTTGAATGATTTCCACCAATATCTCCTTCCAGATATTAAAGAAGCCACTCAAAAACCCATAAATCTGTCTAAGACAGCTGAAGTTGTCTAGGGGCCTGATGAGTCACCTGGAGTGTTTTTTGGAACGCCTCCAGGAGGCCTATTGAATTTACACCCCATCTGATCCAGTGGCTCCCAAAAATAGCTGTGCTATTAATTTGGCATTTGTGGCCCAGGCAGCTCCTGATATTTGGAGAAAGTTATAAAAACTTGAGGGATTTGCCAGAATAAATATCACCCATCTCCTAGAAATAGCTCAGAAGGTTTTTGACAATCGAGACCATGAGAAACAGAAACAGCCTGCTCTGGCAGCTGAAAAGGCTTCAGAAAGGCAGGCAAAAATCTTAGTGGCTGCACTCCAAGAAGTTAAACACGAGCGTTCCAAGTTGTCTACAAGCCGTGACAGCAACTGCAAGTCTGGTCCAGGAGACTGATAAACTAACCCTGGGCCAAAACTTAACCTTCATGGCTCCCCACGCTGTTGAAACATTACTGCGCAGTGCTTCTGGTAAATGGATGTCAGATGCCCACATATTACAGTACCAGAGTGCCGTTAGATCAGCCTCGTTTAACTTTCTCCCCCACAAGGTGTTTAAATCCAGCTACTCTACTTCCTGATCCAGACTACACCACACCTGTCCATGACTGCCAAGAACTGCTAGAGGCTGCAGAAACTGGCCAACCTCATCTCCAAAATGTTCCATTGGAAAGGGTGAATGTTACCGTATTCATAACGGTAACAGCTTCCTTAAGCAAGGAGTGCAAAAGACTGGTGTGGCTGTCACCACAGAAACAGACATTCTGTGGGCCCAGGCCCAGCCAGTCGGAACTTCGGCACAAAAGGCTGAATTAATTGCCCTTACTCAAGCCCTCTGGTGGGGTAAGAACAGATGCATCAACATCTACACCAACAGCCAGTATGCTTTTGCTACCATACATCAAAAAGAAAACACAGCTGTTGCCCGAGGAAGATCAAAGGGCAGACCCCACTGCCCAAGAGGCAACCCGGCTCCTGGTCACACCTTTATCCCTATTATCTGCTGTATCTTTCCCACAGCTTGATTTACCCGATCACCCAGCCTACTCTCCAGAAGAAGAAAAGCAAGCATCAGATCTTCAGGCCAGTAAAAACCAAGATGAAAAATAGACTTTAGAGAAGTAAAGCCACACCAGGCGAGATAAGTATCTCCTGGTGATGGTAGACAGTTTCTCTGGATGGACTGAGGCATTTGCCACTAGAAATGAAACCACCTCCACAGTAGTTAAATTTGACTCAATGAACTCATCCCTTGATTTAAACTGCCATTTGCCATAGGGTCTGATAATGGGCCAGCCTTCACCTTGTCCATAGCTCAGTCAGTCAGTAAGGCATTAAACATTCAATAGAAACTTCACTGTGCCTATTGGCCTCAGAGCTCTGGACAGAGAGAAGGCATAAAGCATAGCTTAAAAAATACTCTTACAAAACCGATCTTGGAAACTGGTGTAAATTGAACAGACCTCCTTTCTTTAGCCCTCCATGGAGTTAGGTGCACTCCTTACAAGGTGGAGTTCTCTCCCTTTGAAATTATATATGAAAAAATTCCGCCTATTCTGCCTAAGTTAAAAGATACCCATTTAGCAGAAATTTCCCAAGCAAATCTGTTACAGTATCTGCAGTCTTTCCAACAGATTCAAGACATCATCCAGCTGCTCGTCTAGAAAACACACCCTAATCCAGCTCCTGACCAGACCAAGCCCTGCTATTCTTTCCATCCTGGTGACCTGGTATATGTTATAAAGTTCCAAAAAGGAGGACTTACTCCTGCCTGGAAAAGACCCCACATCGTCATCCTCACCACACCAACGGCCCTAAAAGTGGACGGCATTCCTGCTTGGATTCATCACTCCTGCATCAAGAGGGCCAATAAACTCCAAGAAGAGACATGAGTCTCACGCCTGGATCAGGTCCCTTGAAACTACGCTTAATTAGGGTGAAGTCATCAAACTCACTCTTCTAATTCATCTTTTCCACCTGTTTCCACTTGCCATGCCCTCCACTCCTACCTACTCTTTTTTCCTCACTTCCTTCAAAACAGGGCGTGTGCTTGCTAACACCACTTGGAAGCAGGACTCTTCCAACCAGGTCTCTCTTGCAGTTGATTTATATGCTTTGTTCCTAGGAACCAGCTCTGAACACTGTTCCTCACAATAGAACGTCCCTACTAGCAACGTTGTTGCCAGAGTAGGTGCCCTCAAGTAGCTGCTGCCTTCCCACCTAGCCAAACCAGATGTGGAGAATCGGCTCATGCAGAGAAGAAACTCCAGGCTGTTGATTTCTACCTCTGTCCCGGAATTCACCCTGATACTAACTGCCAGGATACCTCCAAGTTCTTCTGCCCCTACTGGACTAGCGTAACTCTGGCCACTTATTCCGGAGGACCAATTTGGTCCTCAACTCTTTCCATAGCGCACACATCCCGCCCTAATATGTGTACTATAAGAGTTTGCAATCCCTTTACCATAATTGTTTATGATCCTAACGCAGCTCATTGGTGCTATAGCATGACATGGGGATTTAGACTGTATATTACAGGATATGACTTTGGAACTATGTTTACCATTCAAAAGAAAGTTTCAGTTCCATGGAGTCCCCCTAAATGGATTGGGGCTTTAACTGACTTAGGTGACCCCATGCCCACACCCAGAGAAAGTTAGCTCAACTGTCCCTTCACCAGTTCCTGCCCCTCCATCTCTGCTTCAACACTCCTCCACCAGCCTAGCCTAATGTCCATATTGGATGGGGTACATTACCTTCTTAATCCTACACAACCCAAAATAACCCAAGACTGCTGGCTATGCCTAAGGGCAAAACCCCTATACTACATTGGTCTAGGAGTTGAAGTCACTCTTAAGACTGGTTCTCTCTCCTGTCAGGTACTCCCTTGCTCCCTTACACTAGGAGATGTTACTGGAAGTGCCACCTGCCTAATTAGCAATGGGTATAATCTATCTGCCTCTCCTTTCCAGGCTACTTGTACCCAGTCCTTATTAATTTCCCTAAAACCTTCAGTCTCTTTTAGAGCACCCAACAATACATGGTTGGCCTGCACCACAGGTCTCACCCGCTGCATCAGTGGAACTGAACTCAGACTGTGTACAGTGGACCAGGAGGACAACATCTCATCGCCCGAAGTACACTCCAGAGTTTGCTGAGGTGCCCCCACTACTTGTGACCTTACCTACTTGTGGGTCAGCTGCTATCGGCACTGCAGCCCTAGTCTGAGGAGAGACTGGACTAGTATCTTTGTCCCAACAAGTCAATGCTGATATAGGAAATCTCCAGTCCACCATAAATATGTTGCATACCCAGGTAGAATCCCTAGCTGAAGTTGCTCTTCAAAACCGCCGAGGCTTAGATTTGCTGTTTCTTTCCCAAGGAGGCTTTTATGTGCTGCTTTAGGAGAAAGCTGTTGTTTTTATGCTAATCAGTCTGGAATCATTAAAGACACTTTTCAAAGGGTGCGAGAAAACTTAGACGCCAACAAGAGCGAGAAAATAACACCCCATGGTGTCAAAATATGTTCACCTAGAGTTCATGGCTAACTACCCTAATAAATGGGCTAGCAGGACACCTTCTACTCCTCCTGTTAGGCTTAATCTTTGGGCCCTGCATCCTTAATTGGTTCCTAAATTTCATAAGACAGTGCATAGTGTCTGTCAAACTTTGGTATCTCAGGACCCAATATAACCCTGGTTATAAATAAAGAGTCAATGGTTTGACTCCCCCAAAACACAAATTGGCAATGAGGTGAACCAAACTACCTCCATCTTAGAAGTGAGCCTGACTGACTCCATCTTGGCTTTCCCCCACCCCCCGTCATTCCTCCCTTGAGTGCATACCTGGGTTACACAGTGCTGGGTCATGTTGTGCTTAGAACCATAAAAACATATAAGTGTTGTAACCATACCCTGTTTGACAAGCCCACTTGCTATTGTGAATACCCCCTCGATTGATCATATGGAAAGTACTGAAATGCCCCCCTTGGTAACCAGCAATCATGGAAACCGCTTGTATACTCTCCTTAATCAACAATCATGAGAGACTCCTGCTTCCTAGTTACCAGCCTCCTCCCCTAACTTGCTCATTCTGCTTCTGTAAAATTTCGTTTTGCCCCCCTTATCCTGAGCAACATATGAAAGGAAATCACATCCCTTCCTCCGGGCCAAGAGATTTTGAGCATGAGCTGACTCTCGGTTGCCAGCAGTAAAGGACTCACAATCAGATCGCAGAGAGTGGCGCTTTCCTAACAACTCGCTCTGATACAACGGTTTAATAACTGCTTTAAAATCTCTGTCTACTGACTCAAGCATGTGGGGATTTAGAACTGGTCTCTCCGTTAGTTGTCTTTTCTCTTGAAAATTGGGTGTGTTTTCCTGTTTTTTTCTCATATGTTGACTCACTTTGTATTGTATCCTAGACATTGTGATTCTTTAAAATCTTTAAATTTTTATTGCTACTAAAAATGGCACACAAAAAAATGAAAGTAGATGATTCAAATGAATTAATATTCATATTAAATATGATTAACTGCTCCATGATGTATATGATTCATGTGTACTATATGATCAACTGTCTCTAGCCATGCATAAAATACAATCCCAGCATTTTCTAATTTATTAAGAGCTTAGAATATGACTGATCCTTTAATGTAATTTTTTAACTATGATATTTGGTAGAAACTGGATTATTTTATGTTCCCTCAAAAATCATTAATTTTCTTTGTTTTAGGAGTCACTTATTTGGACTCAACTGCAAAATCTGACTTATGGGAAGCAACTCAAAAAGCAGTTTGGGTCTTTCATTTTTAATTGGACTACTTAGAATTTATTCTATATGCATGATTTAGTGGTCAGTGGAAGACTGGGTAGAGTTTATACATAAAATCTAGGCTTCTACCTCTCTTTTACTTATGGTATTCCTCTTTACTTTCCAGAAGCTGATTGTCTCAACTTCTGTCCTTTAGCTTTTTAGACCAGAAAAGCTGTGATCTACCAGAATTCCAGCCACTTCTCATGGTGCAGACTGAAGCCTACTCTCATGCAAGAATCTGTAAAAACAAGTGAAACTCACTCAGGGGTGTTCCCTTCTTTCAAAGCTTATCTCCCTTCCTGCTTTTGCTTACTTTTTAGTGCCACAGGTGGTATGTATTGTATTTTGTGCAAAGGTCAAAATACAATAGAAGGTTTGTGTGCTTGGAGTTTATGCAGCTCTTACAAGAAAAAACTACACTCAAACATTTGGTATGAAGTTTAAATTTCTGTAAAAGAATTGAATGAGAATTGAGGATTGTAGTGTGAAGGAGCTGTAGATTCTGTATTAGAGAATTTAGAAGAATTTAGATCAATCCTACTTGTTTCTGACTTACAATGTCAATCTATTTTCAATTAACCACACACTTTTAGTGGTTTATCCAGACTCTTCCCAATCAACTCACTTTTTTCATCACATATCAGCATCTTTTCTAAGAATCTGTCCATTTCCTCCGGCTTATTGAATTTGTTAATATACAATTGTTCATCGTGTTAAATACAAGAAGTTCCTTTTTAAAGGGTTTAGTTGGTTCCCTTGTTCTTTATTTCCAGCTTTCAAGGCCGAACTTCCTTATCCTTTGTGCCTCCCTGACCTGGTTTCAGTAAACAACTATCCCCCCAGTCCTAATCTGCAAAGCGACATCTGCTACTCACTATGTAAATTACTTCTCCCACTTCAAAGGCTCTTCCCACCAAAACTTCCCTTCCCTTCTCATTAGGCACACCCCTGTGCTCTTCAGGTTAGCCAATTGGGTTCAGCTTAGATTGTGTGGTCCAACTCCAGCCAACAGAGGCAGGATACAGTAGCAGGGACAAACTGCATTAAAAATAAAAACCTCTTCCCTCTTTTGTTTGGTGTGCTCTCCTGGAGGCAAGTATATAAGCAGCACTCTTCTGCAGAAGTAAATTTGTCTTGCTGAGAAATCCTTTAAGTGCTCAGTTTCTTTGTAGAACCAAGTTCTTGTTTCCAACAAATTTAGGGGCTCATCTGGGATCCCATTATCCTCCAGGGAGGGGTTTCCAATCATCTCTCGTGGGGAGATGCATCCTGCTGCCTCACTGTGGTGGCCTCAGGATTAGAGAGTCCAAACCCATGCCATGTGGTAAATAAACCCAGACTCTCAGCAATGCAGGCAGAAAGGATCCTTACATACCACAGCGACCAGGTAACTCTGTGAACAGACCAAGGTAAAAACGTTGCAGGGGCAACAAAATATTTCCTTGGTGGTCGAGATTATCTTGAAGGTTAACAGTGTGTGGTGAGATGTGCAATTAAAGGCAAGAAATCTCTAATATGAAGGAGTGAGCTTCATACCAAACCTCTAAAATAATAAAAAGCAAGAAATCTCCAGTAAGAGGGGTTGGGCTTCTAGGAAAGGAGAAGGCAAAAAAATCCCTAATACAAGGGATTAGCCTCAGCAAGCCCCTAGAGAAGCAAGAGCAAGAAATCCCTACTATGAGGGATTATGCCTGACCAACACTCAAAATGGGAAATACTCCACATAAAGCAAAAAATGGGAAGGATAAAGCTAACAGCAATAATATTCCCTCAGGTCTCATGTTAAAATATTGGAAAGATAATGAACCATCTAAAGACTGTAGGAAATAAGCTAAAAGCCAACTCCTTTAAGAAAAATAAGGTCCCAAGGGTACAGGGTTTGAAACATGGCAGACAACATAGACCAGTAACAAATTACCAACACTGTAGAGGACTCCTTGGATCTTCTCAGGCACAGTCCAGGTGAGCAAATTTATGTGAAAATGAGAAACGACCAAGAGCTTTGAGGCAGATTACATGCGTAGGATCAACATTTAAATATGATCTCAAGAGATGTGGAAGCAATTGACTACTATAGACATTGATGAAGAAATATATGAAGAGAAACATAAATCAATGAAAAGGAGTATTCCAATGCTCTTTGTCTGGGAAGATGGTGTTGTCCTGGTTGGCCCTCCCCTGAGAACTGGCTGAAACAAAGAATTATTTTTCCTGTATGAAAACAGGAGACTTTGTACAGTGGCTTCTCTAAATGTACAAGATATTCAAAAGAGAAACCTGCATATATTTTGATATTAAGAAATAATTCTGGGGGTTATTCCACTCCTGAAACGAGTTCATTTGCAGGTAACTCACAACTTCTTAAGCTAAATGGTATTTTCATTTGTTTTATTGCATTTTAGATTTTGGGGTACATGTGCAGAACATGCAAGACAGTTGCATAGGTACACACATGGCAGTGTGTTTTGCTGCCTTCCCCCCTTCACCCACATTTGGCATTTCTACCCAGGCTATCCCTCCCCAGCTCCCCCCACCCACTATCCCTCCCCTATTCCCCCCAATAGGCCCCAGTGTTTAGTACTCCCTTCCCTGTGTCCATGTGTTCTCATTTTTCATCACCCGCCTATGAGCGAGAATATGGGTTTTTCATTTTCTGTTCTTGTGTCAGTTTGCTGAGAATGATGTTCTCCAGATTCATCCATGTCCCTACAAATGACACGAACTCATCATTTTTGATTGCTGCATAATATTCCATGGTGTATATGTGCCACATTTTCCCAGTCCAGTCTATCATTGATGGGCATTTGGGTTGGTTCCAGGTCTTTGCTATTGTAAACAGTGCTGCAATATACATTTGTGTGCATGTGTTCTTATAGTAGAACGATTTATAGTCCTTTGGATATATACCCAGTAATGGGATTGCTGGGTCAAATGGAATTTCTATTTCTAAGGCCTTGAGGAATTGCCACACTGTCTTCCACAATGGTTCAACTAATTTACACTCCCATCAACAGTGTAAAAGTGTTCCTATTTCTCCACATCCTCTCCAGCATCTGTTGTCTCCAGATTTTTTAATGATGGCCATTCTAACTGGCGTGAGATGGTATCTCAATGTGGTTTTGATTTGCATCTCTCTAATGACCAGTGATGAGCATTTTTTCATATGTTTGTTGGCCTCATGTATGTCTCCTTTTGTAAAGTGTCTGTTCATATCCTTTGCCCATTTTTGAATGCGCTTGTTTTTTTTCCTGTAAATCTGTTTGAGTTCTTTGTAAATTCTGGATATCAGCCCTTTGTCAGATGGGTAAACTGCAAAAATTTTTTCCCATTCTGTTGGTTGCTGATTCACTCTAATGACTGTTTCTTTTGCCGTGCAGAAGCTGTGGAGTTTTGTTAGGTCCCATTTGTCTATTTTGGCTTTTGTTGCCAATGCTTTTGGTGTTTTGTTCATGAAGTCCTTGCCTACTCCTATGTCCTGGATGGTTTTGCCTATATTTTCTTCTAGGGTTTTTATGGTGCCAGGTCTTATGTTTAAGTCTTTAATCCATCTGGAGTTAATTTTAGTGTAAGGTGTCAGGAAGGGGTCCAGTTTCTGCTTTCTGCACATGGCTAGCCAGTTATCCCAACACCATTTATGAAACAGGGAATCCTTTCCCCATTGCTTGTTTTTGTCAGGTTTATCAAAGATTGTATGGTTGTAGATATGTTGTGTTGCCTCTGATGCCTCTGTTTTGTTCCATTGGTCTATATCTCTGTTTTGGTACCAGTACCATGCTGTTTTGATTACTGTAGCCTTGTAGTATAGTTTGAAATCTGGTAGTGTGATGCCTCCCGCTGTGTTCTTTTTGCTTAGAATTGACTTGGCTATGCAGGCTCTCTTTTGGTTCCATATGAAGTTCATGGTGGTTTTTTCCAGTTCTGTGAAGAAAGTCAATGGTAGCTTGATGGGGATAGCGTTGATTTTGTAAATTACTTTGGGCAGTATAGCCATTTTCACGATATCAATTCTTCCTAACCATGAACATGGAATGTTTCTCCATCTGTTTGTGTCCTCTCTTATTTCGTTGAGCAGTGGTTTGTAGTTTTCCTTGAAGAGGTCCCTTACGTTCCTTGTGAGTTGTATTCCTAGGTATTTTATTCTTTTTGTAGCAATTGTGAATGGCAGTTCATTCTTGATTTGGCTTTCTTTCAGTCTGTTATTGGTGTAGAGGAAGGCTTGTGATTTTTGCACATTGATTTTATATCCTGAGATTTGCTGAATTTGCTTATCAGTTTCAGGAGTTTTTGGGCTGAGGTGATGGGGTCTTCTAGGTATACTATCATGTCGTCTGCAAATAGAGACAATTTGGCTTCCACCTTTCCTACTTGAATGCCCTTTATTTCTTTTTCTTGCCTGATTGCTCTGGCTAGAACTTCCAGTACTATATTGAATAGGAGTGGTGAAAGAGGGCATCCTTGTCTAGTGCCGGATTTCAAAGGGAGATTTACAGGAAAAAAACAAACAAGCCCATTCAAAAATGGGCAAAGGATGTGAACAGACACTTTACGAAAGAAGACATATATGAGGGCAACAATCATATGAAAAAATGCTCATCATCACTGGTCATCAGAGAGATGCAAATCAAAACCACATTGAGATACCATCTCACACCAGGCTGTTTTTTATGATTTCAGTTGTTTTGCATTTGTTGAGCAGCGCTTTACTTCCAATTATGTGGTCAATTTTAGAGTAGGTGTGATGTGGTGCTGACAAGAATGTGTATTCTGTGGATTTGGGGTGGAGAGTTCTGTAAATGTCTATCAGGTTTGCTTGCTCCAGGTCTGAGTTCAAGCCCTGGATATCCTTGTTGATTTTCTGTCTGGTTGATCTGTCTAATATTGACAGTGGAGCGTTAAAGTCTCCTACTATTATTGTGTGGGAGTCTTAAGTCTCTTTGTAAGTCATTAAGAACTTGCCTTATGTATCTGGGTGCTCCTGTATTGGGTCCATATATGTTTAGGATCGTTAGCTCTTCTTGTTGTATTGATCCTTTTACCATTATGTAATGGCCGCCTTTGTCTCTTTTGATATTGTTGCTTTAAAGTCTGTTTTATCAGAGATGAGAATTGCAACTCCTGCTTTTTTTTGCTTTCCATTTACTTGGTAAATCTTCCTCCATCCCTTTATTTTGAGCCTTTGTGTATCCTTGCATGTGAGATGGGTTTCCTGGATACAGCACACTGATGGGTTTTGGCTTTTTATCCAATTTGCCAGTCTGTGTCTTTTGATTGGTGCATTTAGTCCATTTACATTTAGGGTTAATATTGTTATGTGTGAATTTGATACTGCCATTTTGATGCTAGCTGGCTGTTTTGCCCATTAGTTGTTGTAAATTCTTCATTATGTTGATGCTCTTTAGCATTTAGTGTGATTTTGGAATGGCTGGTACTGGTTGTTCCTTTCTATGCATAGTGCTTCTTTCAGGAGCTCTTGTAAAGCAGGCCTGGTGGTGACAAAATCTCTGAGTACTTGCTTGTTCGCAAAGGATTTTATTTTTCCTTCACTTATGAAGCTCAGTTTGGCTGGATATGAAATTCTGGGTTGAAAGTTCTTTAAGGATGTTGAATATTGGCCCCCACTCTCTTCTGGCTTGTAGTGTTTCTGCCGAGAGATCTGCTGTGAGTCTGATGGGCTTCCCTCTGTTGGTGACCCGACCTTTCTCTCTGGCTGCCCTTAGTATTTTCTCCTTTATTTCAACCTTGTTGAATCCTACGATTATGTGCCTTGGGGTTGCTCTTCTTGCAGAATATCTTTGTGGTGTTCTCTGTATTTCCTGCATTTGAGTGTTGGCCTGTCTTGCTAGGTGGGGGAAATTTTCCTGTATAATGTCCTGAAGAGTATTTTCCAGCTTGGATTCATTCCCTTCATCACATTCTGATACACCTATCAAACGTAGGTTAGGTCTCTTCACATAGTCCCACATTTCTTGGAGACTTTGTTCATTCCTTTTTGCACTTTTTTCTCTGATCTTGGTTTCTTGTTTTATTTCATTAAGTTGATCTTTGACTTCTGATATTCTTTCTTCTGCTT